ATGTCCGCCCCGGAGGCTGGACCGAACGAGCGGCCATCCATTTGAGAAGTGGACGTCCGCCTAAGTTGGCGTGTCCGCCCAATAATCCGGACGTCCGCCAAACAGTCTGGACCGAGCGTCCTTAGGAACCGGACGTCCGTCCAAGGACGTCCGTCATCCGCCAGTCCGCCCAATAATCTGGTACGCATTCACGAGCCGGACGCCCGCCCAAGGATTGTACGTCCGCCCAAGAGCTGGACGTCCGCCCAAGAGCTGGACGTCCGCCCAAGAGCTGGACGTCCGCCCAAGGGTGGACGACCGCCCAAGAGCTGGACGTCCGCCCAANCGTCGGAGTGCCTTTAGCAGGTACCCGGCCCCTCCCCAACTGGGAGCGTGGAGCAGCGCTAAGTACGGAAGGACGCCCGTCCAGCTTGAAGCAGAGAACGAAGGATCATCCGCCAGGAGAGGAGGCCGTCCGCCCGGTTTGGAGCGTGGAACTGGGAGCGTGGAGCAGCGCTAAGTACGGAAGGACGCCCGTCCAGCTTGGAGCAGAGAACGAAGGATCATCCGCCAGGAGTGGAGGACGTCCGCCCGGCTTGGAGCAAAGAGAGAGCGTCTGGATTGGAGGACGTCCGCCCGGTTTGGAGCGCCATGGAACAGCGATCGTCCATCTTGGTGCCGCCCGTCAATGCAGCTAGCTCCGGTTCGTAGGATTCAGCAGTGTCCGCCCGGTCCATGTATCTTCGCCGCCCGCCCGTTCGTCTTCGACAGTAAGTTTGTGTGTTTTTACAGGGTCCGCCCGGACCCAGCCGAAACAGTAATAATAATAATAACTCATACAAGATGATTAAATATTACTTAATCTTTTTTATTATTGACAAAATTATATAAATCAATTGTAGAAAAACAAAATCTGAATCTTGAATAAATCAATATGTTTCTATCGATATGATTGGACCAAAATAGTTACGAACCTAATTTTAAAAGTCGATAAATGAATATATTATTTCAATATTTCGATTGATAATATGGTCGTTTTATCGTATAATGACTTTTTTATAATGGGTGTTTTGAATGATATATTTAATATTTAATACATATTTTATTATAGAAAAAAACTAATGAGAAATAAATGTTTCATGTGTTGAAGCAGAAACTTGAATGAAAAAAATATTGAGATGTAGACAAAAGAAACTGTTTTTTATTAAGTGGGGAAGTGTAGTTAAACATAACATGAGTTATATCAAAGTTAAAAATTAGGGACATCAAAACTTTAAAAAATTCAAAGAAGCCAACATTGTGTTAATGTTGTTGCTAAATTGTGTTAATCTTATTTTGACGCATTAGAGAGTGATTTCTGCTTGAAATTTGACAAAGAAGATGTTGCATACATTTCAGTTTGAACAAAAAATAATAATTAATTGAGGATAGGTACTTTGAATTTTGTCTTTTTTTTTACTCAAAAAGATAATTTAAATTCCTATATATTATATTTAATTAGTTACATTAATTTGATGGATTGACCAAGAACATGATTTGTCAGCTTACTTAGAGTATTAATGTCTTTGGAGTGTTTGAATTACTGTATATATTCTGTGTGGATGTTGATGGATAACAATAGTGTCCTTATCAAAATTTATACAAAACGAAAAAATGCGAATGGGCTTCAAGTTCTATTTAGCATTTTCCAGCCTAGAAAACACATTTAATTATGACCAGTTAAAAAATGTTATATTATATGAATGAAAGAATTTAAATATTTATTATGAAAAAAAAAACAAGTTTGAAATATGGGTGTGAATTGATGGTGATTGTGGGTTCAACCTATGGATTTGTTTGGTGGGAATCCAAATTGTATAATAGAAAAAGCTCAGTTCAATGCAAGTAGTAATTTGATTTCATACCAGTTAGTCCTGTGATTCTAATGCAAGTATTATAAGTTTTTCATTTTTTTTCTTCCATTTTACTAAAGGAACAAAATAGTTTATAACTATAAGCCTGGTACACAAATTTTGTGCAAGTTATTATATTAAGAGTCTTGTTTGTTACATACAAATAAAGTCCCGTATCGGATAAAATATGAAATACACATGGGTTTATATACACATAAGATACATCTTTTAATAAGAGGTTTTTTGGAGTAGTACCAAAAGCAAATCTGCGAGGGCTTAGTCTTTAAACATATTTTGTATTTGGTACGAGGTTGATTCTTCTTGTGTTTATATAAGTTTGAGGACATTAAATGTTTTTTTATAAACTATTGATTTAAGATATATTAAGTGTTTTTGACAAAGTATTTAATATGTATAACATTTTTAACAACACATGCTAGAAAATGTTTAATATCAAACATTTTTTTTAATTAAGTATACTCCTTTTTTCAGGACAATGTACATCCATTGTAGTTATATGTCTCTTGGATAAAATATATATTAAACATTGTTTACAGGGGTACATTAAATAAAAAATCAATAATCTACTTAATATTATCACAACTTTTAAATTTGAAAATTGTTAAATTTGAACTAGTATTTTTTCAATATGACTTCACTTTACAGAAATCATGCAAGACATGAACTCTTCTCTCAACTTACTTAAAATTCATAATTATTTTTAAGTCAAATGTGCACCAACTATGTAAAAAAAAACATGAAAAATAAGAAAGTAAATAAGGTTTAGGAAGGAGAAAAAACAAAGAGGATAGAAAAAAATTTCACATTCAAGTTATGTTGTCCATAACTTTATTCTCACCATGCATTTCCTTACCATGCATTTCCTTACATTCACGTACAAATTCATTGTTTGGTAAAGAGATAAAGAAATAATAACAAAAACAAAACCACAAGTAATGCAATAATTAAATAAAGGAAACCAAAAAAAGTAAAATAAATACAAATATATTAAGATAAAAAAACATCAAAGGTGAAGTTCTTGATAAGATTTCATAGTTTACTCCTCTTACTAAACACAACAAAAACAAACACACAAATAAACACGTCAGAAACAGATAAAACTAACTCAATACATTATTATTGCCAAAGTGAATCTGTTTTGAGTAATTCATCAAACATAGTCAAGTTACTGACTTAATACACTTAGTATAATCTTTCAAACCATAATTCCTTATTGGAAAACCATCTTTGGTTGTTGAAGTTGCAATATCATTTGCAAGTGTTGTCATTGTAACATACAAAAATTTGATAGAAGGATTAATTTTGACTTGTGGTTAATTTAAATAAGATGTGCTAACACAATTTAGATTACACAAGACATTGAAAAGGAACACAAACATTATTGATATTGATGCAGGGTGTGTGATTGTCCATGAGCATTGATTAACATTTATGCAGGTGTGTAATGAAAGAAAATTCTTGGAATTGTTTAATTCAAAGTAAATATACTCTTTATGCCAGAGTATAAATGATGGTTAGTGTAGGCTATAGAGATAAAAAAGAAAGATGTGTTTTAATCATGGTAGAAATTTTTTGGTCGACAAAAATAATATATATTGAAAAGTCCTACACCACCTAGGATAAGTGATGGAGTGAGTGATAATAATTATATAATAAATTTAAAGTTTATGAGATTTAAACACCGAGTCAAAAACATTTTAAATTTGTATTTAACTTTTTTTATACTCTTGTGGTAAAATATAATGAGATTTAACTTTTCAAAAAAAAAATCTTATATCCATTATTATATTTATAATTTAAATTTCATCTCATTTTCGTTGATAAAGTACATAGTAATTATAGGTAAAAGAATCAGATTAATTATCTTGTTTAAATAAATATGAATATATTATAAATAAATTTCCAGAAATATTATCTATGTAATACCAAATTTAAATATAATAAACAGTTTGGTTTATTTTGATTTACTTTTCTATTTTCAATTAAAATTAAAATTTAGCTGTAAAATGGTAAATCAGAATAATCTAAGATAATTTTGATCAGTTTTCGACTTTTAGAAGGATTTTCAGATTTTTTTTATCGGTTTAGTTTTCAATATTTTAAAGTGAAACTGAAACTTCTTCATAATTTGTTTTCTGTCATAACCTTTTAACATTATTGATGTTGAAGTGTGAAAAATAACACTTTTTTATTTCAAAAAGGTTTAATTTCATAAGAATACAAAAGTTATTTGTTATATTCTGCTTACAACGACCTAACCATTTTGACCTATTGACATCAACTCTAAAATTGACACAACCTTTTATAACTAAAGCACATAAAATAAGGAACATAACTAATATATTTATTAATATTAAAAAATTTAAACTTTCTGTGAAGTTCTTCTATAAATATCTTATCAATCAATCCTTTTTTATTATTATTTCTTAAAATAATCTGAATAAATATATAAAACATTTAAAATTCAATGAAGAAACACTTTCAATATTTAACTTTATTTCTAATTATTTACTATTTCAAAATTAAGATAAGATTTGATGACTTTGTCTGAGTAAAGTAATATAATACTTTTGAAGTAATTTATGAGCACAATTACTTTACGTTTTATGTTTTTTTTGTGATTCTTTGTGTTCCCTTCTTTTTTTATAAGATATACTATAATTTAATTAAATAAATTTTACCATTTTATATAATTTTTTAATAATATTACTACAACTTATTTTTCTTTATAAATTTGAATTTTATCAGCTTGTTTAATTGTAAAATATTTAAATTAAAATTAAAAATAGACAACGCAATAATTGACACAATATTACAACAAGATAGAAAAAAAGAAAATAAATAAACTAACGAGATAGATAGAGAGAGAGAGAGAGTAGATAACAATACTAAATAAAGTAACACAATAAAATAATTTAAAAGAATCAAAATCAAAGTTTAAACGTAGTAACATAAATTTGAATACCATCTTTTTCTTTCTACTAAAATTACTTATTTTAGATAAATAAACTTATATTATTACTATCATATCATATTTATATTAAAGTTAAACTAGATTAGTAAGATGGAGTTAAGCCTCTTAGGCATTCTTAGACTCTTTCAAATTGTAATATGGTTCCATTGGTGTCTCGTCATAAGTGGCTGCTTCCTTGCTACTTCCTACGGTTCTGAAAGCCAAATCAAAGGTCCCAGTTTCTGCTAAATGATTATGAAACTTCTTACGAAGTTATTGTCTGTTAAAAACTGAGTCTTTGTCCGTGTTGACTTGGCTTGGTCTTAATCCAGTGTGTGATAGTTTCGTCTTGTACTTCAACTTTTGCGTTGTTTGGATGTTCTCTACCTTCAAATTTAGTAATGGCACCGAAAGTTTCGAGCTTGGAAGCAGCCCAGAAAGCCATAGACTCAATTGGGCTGGGTTTTGACATAACACAAGATATAGGTTTTGACAACTGTAAGAAGGGTTCAAGGTTGATATTTGTGGATGAGAAACAGAGCCGTCTTCTTGAGATTCCTGGAGGAGGGATTTCAATTCCAAATGTCCCTAACTCTATCAAATGTGTCAGAGGGGAATCCATTAGAGTCTTCTCAGAAGTGCTACCCTTGCAACAGGCATGCTAATTATGAATATGTTACCATTTTTATATGCTTCAGAAGTGTTATCAGCATACTGTAGTACGTTTTTTTTTTATAATATATTCTTCATTATTCGCTGAAATTTGTTAGAAGGGTATGTTAGAAATAGAGTTGTTGCCATTGGCAATGTCGTGTATACTTATACTAACCTTAAGGCAGATGTTAATTTGTGTGACCCTATGCCGTGTTTCAGATGTTGGAGCACTTCAACCAGGAAATGTGCCTTGGTGGACGAACTGCATCGGGTCATTTCTGTTCTTCATTTGGGTTATCCAGCCGAGGTATAAAGGATTTGACTTCTATCAAGTCTCTTGCTTATGATGGTTGGTTCATCAAACGCTATGCCATTGAATTAGAAAAGTATCATGGTGAACTCCTTGATCATGTCAAAGAAGCAGTGCCATCGTCGTGGGACCCTGAAGCCTTGGCAAGGTAAGACTTTGAGGCCTTGTAGTGGTATGATGTAACAAGTTACTACTCCATGTATCGAGAAGTGTTTTTGGCCCAGAAATTATGAGCTTCTCTTCCAGTGTTTACCGTTTCAACATATTTTTACGATCATGTTAGGTATTTTTAGTTCATTCATTACCACTCACCCAATTAATACTAGTTCAAACCTTTATTTTTTTTGTTAATTTCAATCTATTTAGAGACTACATGTAATGCTTTCCTTCACCATATATAATGCATCAAGTAGGAAAACAATGTCTTTAAGCACGTCATAAATTTCAATCTGTATATTTCATAAATCTCCTCATGCTCTGCTGTGTGAATTTGAAGGGGTGTCTTGAGTGAAACAAATTACATTGCATAACTGTAAGTTCAGAATGATAAAATTGTTATACTGATTCATGCAAGGTTTATAGAACGTTTTGGAACTCATGTCATAGTTGGGGTGAGCATGGGAGGGAAGGATGTTTTATATCTTAGACAAGAGGATACATCATATCTTGGACCTACTAGTATTCAGAAATTTTTGAAGGATACAGCTGACAGGAAGTTCAAGGATTCTGCAGACAATCATTGCCAGGCTTCTGAAGACTTCAGTAAAGAAAAAGAGGTGTCATTATACTTCTTTATTAACTTGATTTAGTCGTTCTGGAATTTTTAGTTGGAAATAGAAAATAAATATTATAATAGAGTGGTCAGATTGAAAGTTTATATATTAATTTGATTCTTAGGTGGGAATTTGGGATTGGGAAAGTCCTTCCCCTTCCACTTCCCTTAAAAAAAAAAGAACTAACCATGCAAGTTTTGTGCTAAAGAGAGTACTTTTCCCATAACTAATTAATTTTTAAAAAGTTGATTTTTGTTAGGGCAATTTCTTTTTGTTGATCATTAACTTATAAGTAGTTTTTTAGTTAATTTATTTTCTTAACCTTCCTAACTCATGCATCAAGAATGCAGTTAGTGGCAACTTAAAACTCATTTCAGCTTTATATGTTATAATCTTTGTATGGTAAACTGTTACAAGAGTAACCAAATTTTCTTACTTACGTATAGCATTATTCTTAAATTACATACGGAATTGCTTGTTCAACTTAAACAGATTCTTCCATGAGAATAATTATTCATTTTATGTATGTCTAGTAGCTTCACAGAATGCTTTGACCTTCCTTTAGTAACATACCATTAATTATCTCTTCTTATCTTACAATGAAATAACTCATCTTGAAATTTTAAATTCTATTTAGAATTCTACGGTGTCAGTGTCCCTTTCTTGAAGAACTAGCGTAATGTTACTAATAATGTCACAGCAAAAATATTCAATTCCCAGTATAATGAAGAAATGTTTGCTCTGTTATGCTCCGTTAATACATTTGTGCCCAAGTCCCTCTCTTGCAATGCAACGGATGTTACAAACAAAAAGAGTTTTAAATTTCCTTACCACATTGATTATTCATAAATTCTCTCAACTGGATTTGCAGAATCTCGTTATGATACATAGTAGGAGGGGTGGAAGCAATCAAATGATGTATCATGATGAATGGTTAGGTACTATTGATTCGGAGCCTGACGTGATATCACTGTTCCTTCTCCCTCTGACATCCCTTTTGAGAAGCATCCGTGGAAGTGGATTTGTGAGCCATGCCATAAATCTTTATCTCCGTTGTAAGCAATTCTTTTATTTGTCTTGTTGCACAAATATTTCACAGTAGTAAGACTTTGCCCTTTCTACCTAAATTTCAGAAAATGACCATGTCATGAAAAATTCTTTTATCCACGGATAAAATATCCAGGGGCTTGTTTACTTTTAGAATGGTTTTCCATTTCTTGTTTTCATCTTTTATCACAAGCGCCGCCTTATTTTTACTTGGTTTCTGGAAAACATTATCTCGAACAACAGAGTTCCGAAGTTAGTCTTTAAAGGGGACTCAATTCACCACTTTCCTTTGTTTTGTCAATCATACAAGTAAATTGGGTTTTTCTATGATATTCTCTTTCTGAAACTGAATTAACTGAACCTGTACATAAACTATGATTGCTGAAACAGATAAACCTCCAATTGAAGACCTTCATCAGTTTTGTGAGTTTCAGCTACCAAGACAATGGGCACCTGTACTTAGTGAGATTCGCCTTGGTTCTCATTCGAAGCATCAAGAGAACACCTGGCTTAGATTCAGTATCTTGGGTCCCAAGCTTTACGTAAACACCATTCCAGTAAGTTTGCCATCTTACAGTTTTTATGTGCATTTTATGAGTTGAAGGTTCCCATGCTTTCGGTGTTTAATAAACAGTGAGCAGAAAAAGATTTACCTTATTCTGGTTTTTCTTTCGTTGTGTTAAAATAAACAAGGCACGAGTAGTTTCTCTACATATTTGTTGAATATGCACGATGTTAGTGTTTTGCTTTTTAGACTCAGTTAATGTAATTGAATTATGTTAGAGCAGTGGCATTCTGATGCTAATATGACCCTTCTGGTAGTAAACACCAACTCTGCATTTTACATACATATGGATATAGTAGAAGTACTAACGTACTAGTAAACATTGACAACTTAGGAGATCTACGGTTTCTATACATTATACAATAATGAATTTGATCATCTTGGTTCCTTTTCCTTCACTGCAGGTAGATGTAGGGAATAGACCAGTAGTTGGGCTAAGATTACAATTGGAAGGTAGAAGAAGCAACCGGTTGGCCATTCACCTGCAGCATCTGGCTTCTCTACCCAAGTCCTTACCACTTTCTGACAACGCAAATACTTACTTATCTTGTGACTCATATAACTGCAGCTGGCATAAGAAAGTTAAATGGAACTCTTTTTCATACGTGTGTACTGCTCCAGTTGAGTCAAATGATAGTGTTTCAATTGTGACAGGAGCTCAGTTACAAGTTGAAAAGAAGTGCCTCCTTCTGAGGCTGCGTTTCTCCAAAGTAATTGGTGCCATTCTGCAGAAGATACCTGAATGGGATCGATCCTCCAGTCTTGACCAGTTTAGCATAAAGTCTGGGGGCATCTTAGCATTCATTTCCAGTGAGGGACAGAGGGGCCTTCCAAAGCCAGGTGATAAAACCATTAGTTCCAATACATATTCTTCTGTACGCCCTGCACCAGTTCACACACCAAAGCTTCAAAGGTTTGTTGACACAACCGAAATGATGAGAGGACCTGAAGATACTCCTGGATATTGGGTTGTGTCTGGGGCAAAGCTTTCATTTGAGCATGGCAAAATATATCTCCGTGTTAAATATTCACTGTTATCGTTTGTTAGGTAAAGTGAAACTGAAGCTTCACAGAAGTGCTTTAATGATCACCCTATCTTCTATTGAAGTTAAAGGTGTTTCCCTGGCTTCATAGTTAGCTGTTTTTTGTCATCCTTTGACTTCAAATGGAAGTGGAGTGAGCATTAAACAACTTCTATGAAGCTTCATATTCACTTTGCACAACAAAGGAAAATAGTGAATACTTAACAAGCACATATATATTTTCTCCTGCTCAACAGAAAAGCCTTGTTCTGGAAACAACCTATGCGAACGAAAAAAATAATTATGTGATGTGGTAAGTTCTTAAAGGATATATAGTAAGTACACGTATACGTATCAAATGGGATGAGTGTTTGTATAAAAAGGTGAAAGAAATGTATATCATATATGGGTGTTTCACTTAAGTAGCAGAATTTTATGTTTTTTAATCATAAGCTTTTATGATTTGATACAGTAACCATGAATCTGTTATTCACTCTTATTCTTTTATAGTAAAATCCTCCCTTGATAATTCAGTCCTTGTATTATTTTTAAAATAGTTACTGTAATTTGGTTTTAACCCACATGTTACCTATTTGTGTGATTGCATGTGCCCTTTTTTTTTAAGGAGCCAAATAACACTACAAATGCAAAAACAAAAAAAGACTCGTTACAGACAACCTAGGTGAGTGGCACCAACATGTCACGAATAATCCATTCCATGATTCATCCAAGTATCAATCATAACATTATATAAAAAATTATTTCTTTTATCATTAAAATGGATATCATTTTTATCATACTATATTACCCAGATTGTTGCATGTCATACAAACTCCCATATACTTTTTCAGTTTTGTTAATATTGACATCAGAAATCTGTAGATTGCTCTGCATGGTTTCTACCTTTATTATGCGGATAACTGTACTCAGACCAATTCTAAATTGCATCCTAATGTTGAGAGGAAAAAAAAATCACATCTAAAGCACAAATGTGTGACGGTTTCCACTTCCTTTTCACGACCTACACACTTTATACTACTAAGTATGTTACTTCGCCTAAGCAAAATCTACAAGGAAGAATTTTATCTTGCAACATAAATCACCCAAAAGTCAATTTTATTTTAACCCTCAAATTTTTCAAATTTAATTTGATCCTTTTATTCACATCATGAGCATTACAACGTCTCATTTTAATAATATAATATTAAAATAAAACATTTTATTATAAATATTCAAAAGACAAATAATCCAATGCATATATATATATATATATATATATATATATATATATATATATATATATTAGTACAGTCTTACAAGATTATTAGTCAAATATATTCTCAAGCTCCTATATTATGATTATATTACAAGACTTAACATGATCTAATATTGTTCAATTGGATAAACAGTTGGCTTCTGAACCACAAGAGGTGTCACTATCACTTGTATCTCTCTGCTCACACCAATAAGATGGTCACTGTAAAAAAAGAACATAACACATTACAGACAAACAAACAAGAGAGGGTAAGCTAATTTACAAAAAGATATCATATATAGAACATATAATAATACATGTTATAAGATTTAATCAATCATTCATCAACACATACAATTAACAAGAGAAGACTATAAAAGACTCAATTATTCAAATACAAACGTTGATATCGAATATCGAGAGGTCTTGCACTTGTAGTGGCCTTTACTGTTTTGCAGAATCAGTGTCGATGAGTTTCACCCTACCTCATACAAGGTTAGTCCATTAATATCCTTGGCCAAGGTAAAGTTCCTAGACTAAGACATCATGCACCTCTCACCATATACCTCGTTCTACTCCACCTGAGTCTGAATGGTTATTAGAGTGACAGGATAACTTCCAACATCTGGACTCCACATCAAAGAGCACATTACACAACAAATGGAATTTTCCCATGAAATTTCTTTCTCCAAAACAAATCACACTTGTTTCATACTTACTAACCATTATCTCATACAAAAATTCATTTGTTTGCATAAAACGTAACTTAACAAATTTCAGACACTCATAGCATCAATACACAAACTAATTGTATAGTTTTTATGTTATTGATACCTTGTAATTACTAATTTTATGATTCTAAAGTGATTTGTTTGAATGATTAAGGTGTGTGATGATATAAGATAAGTTGAACTGAGATTATGGTTTTGATTTGACTTACTTGAATTTGTATGATGAAATTGAGAATGTTGATTTGATTATCCCTCAGTGAAGTCAATGTTAGAGAGCTTTTGAGAAGGATAAACTTGTTGGGCGAAGTCAAAGTTAGAGAGTTTTTTACTTGATTGTCACTGAACAAGGATATACTTGCTAGGCGAAGCCAAAGTCATAGAACTTCTGACTTGGTTGTTGCTGAGTAAGGATATGCTTGCCAAAGTCAAATAACTCACTATGTCTTTTGGGAGAAATTAAGTCTATGAGTTCTAGTGATAATTTCACTAAACGAGGTATCTGGTTGTTGGGTGAGTGGGCCTTTAGGCACTACCTGCTGAGCGAGTAGATATTCCCACTAAGGGAAATTAAGAGAGATTGATACTATTTTATATGTACATTCATGTATGTTTAATGTAGGACTATGTGATGTTAAAATGATAATTGATTTATGATGTTTATTTGAGAATGGTGGATATATTTTTGGATAAATATGCATGCGAATAATTATGTGATGAACTTGTTAATAAATATGAGCATTGTATGTTTTTGGTGTAATTTCAGGAATCTAGTGGGGAGATTCTATAGTGACATTTCTTTAGTGTATGTATTGATATATGGATTTGGTATGTCTCTACTAACCATTTAATCTCAACTAAAGAAGGGTGGGGTATGTGGTGAGACGTGCATGAGGTTATAGTTTATGGACTTTATCTTGGCCAAAGATGTTGATAGACTAACCTTGTGTATACGAGCTTGAGATTATGAGCTATTTCACCACCACAAGTGCATAATTCAACAAAATCTGACTTGTATCTGAATAATTGAATCTAGTATGAGTCTTTATATATTTGATATGATTGTCTTTATGAATGAGTGTTGTATGGTAATATCTCTATGTTTGTTTTATAAAAATTCTTTTACACATTAACTTATCATGTTGTTTCTTGTGTGTTTGTTTGTTTATTTTGTCAGAATCACGTTATTGAGTGAGTAGATTAAAAGTAGGTGTCGAAGCATATTTGATTGCACTAGAGTATTCTTTCTTATCTAATAGTTTTTCGTAATTGATTTAGATGTCTTATTTATTATTTATTATTTATTATGATGCTAAAATTAGAATGTTGAGGTAATATTTGGAAACATATTCCTATTTATTTAGTAATATTGGAAATTAATAAAGGTAAAGGGAAAATATCAAATTCCAAAAAGTCTATACGTTTTCAACTAGAAAGTGATTTCATCAATAAATTACTGAACAATTATAACTTATTTTAATCAAAGTTATTATTTTTTAATAAAATATATATTACATACAACATACAAATTTCAAAATTATTTTTTCATAATAAAAATATTTAAATTTACTTTACCATAAATATTTTATCAAATAATTATTCTACGAAAAAGTCAAAATAACCTTTTATGTGATTAATATATTTTAATTACTTATAAAATATTCAAATCAGCTTTAATTTATTTACAATTAGTGTTTAAAAATAATTTTAAACAAATAAGTAGATACTTTTTTATGTTGATTACAAATTATTCAAGATTTTAATTTATAAAGATAAGTTTTAAACAGCATTATATGATAAATAAATAAATAAATATATATATATATATATATATATATATATATAGAGAGAGAGAGAGAGAGAGAGAGAGAGAGAGAGAGATACTTTAATAAAATTATATCATAAATATATTACAATTTAAAAAAAATTACATTGGTGATATTTTACTTTTAATTAAATCAATGTTTTAATTAATATAATAAAATTAATGAAATACTTTTAAAGAAAACATAAAAAAGACTTACATTAATTGAAAGAAATATATTTTAAACGTGTTTTTATTAAAAAAAGCAATTAAATGAAATTCACTGGAATGAATATGTAGATGAACTTTTTTACTACATGATATAGTTTAATATTTAGTAAAAAAATATATAAGTTTTGTCCCACATTTTATACTTTATTTATAAATTCAAGAAAATTTTTATGAAAAAATATTTAGGAACAGAATTTGAAACATTATATATAAAATACTTCTTTTAAATATAATATAACTAAATATTTTTTAAGTATCATTAAATTAATTTTTAATTATAAACATTAATATCAATATTCCATTTATAATGTGTATTGATAGTTTGAATACTAAACATTCTTTTTATATAAATTAAAACTTAAACAATTTTTTACAATTTTTTTTATTGTTTAATGTATAAAATTTTCATTTAATATGCAAATTGTTATATTTTTAATTTACTTACTAGCAATTATATATGCTAAGTATTCTCAATTAAGCATCACCAATATATTATATATGGTCAAAATATTATCCATCGTATCTAAGCAAACGTTGTTATAAATAAGTATTAATAACCAATTAAACAATACGATGAGAAAAATTTAAATGGATTTTGTTGTTTATTTTAAAATTGATATTTATTTCATTATATCTATAATCCATTCAATTATAATTTAAGTTATTTTTTTTTCCTTTTCTATTGAGAAAGAATTAGAAAGATAATAATTAAAGTCATTCAATTATTATAATTATTTATTTATATACATAAATACAACCATTATACAAACAATATTATTGGAGACAAATACTTCACTCACATACACAAGTTACACACAATTCATAAGTAAATATTAATGTACTCTATCATTTTATATTTATTAATAATACTTATCATATATAATTCAATCTTTATCTAAACACAGTTAAATTGATGTATTATATCAATCAACAAATTAAAAATTAAGTAACTCGTGTTGCACGGGTAAAAACCTAGTATTTTGTACATTGGCCATGCTGTGTTGTGTTTGGATGGTGGCAAACAGCGCAAATCTGTATATATTGGTTTATTTGTATATATATATAGCTTCAGTTAACTCAAATGTGTAACCAACGAGGTTCCAAAGTTGAAACTATTACCTTATCACTAGTTGAACATAAGAGCCCAAAATCTTAATCACTTCAACGTGATCTTTTCAGCTGGATAAACCCCTTTTTTAGTACTTCTCGTTACTTTCCTGTCAGATTTTTTCTGAATCTTCACTTTGTCTATATGACTAGATGCCATACTTGGTTGTGCAGCCTTTTCCCCGCCATTCCTCCTATCATACAAAAGACCAAAACGTCAAATCAATGCACTCACTAAACCAGCACTACCTGGAAAACACAAAAAAGGGGCCAAACACAAACCTTAAGTGCAAAATCATGAATAACAAACCAACTGCAGCTGCACCACCCAAGACCGATC